CCAATGCATAGTGGCAGCTGACTAGGCGGGACACAAAACTTCATGACCTTGCCGTTCATATTAAATTCTTCCCATTTATATCCTACTACATCTGAGTTCTTAGCGTGAAATACAAAACTGGGTCTATACTTTCAAAAAAGTTAAGAGATCGTAAGTTCATCAGCCAATCATTGACGTTCTTTTAGTCAAAATCCACCAATCATAGACAAGAAAATAGAGCGTAAGTACTTACGTTCACTTAATCATAGACAAGAAAATAGAGCGTAAGTACTTACGATCACTTAATCATTCGTCGTATAGCTTTCAACGTGATAATGCTTTAGAAATAAACTCGAAATAGCTAAGATTCTTCATTCAGAATTTAATTTGAAATTACGATGAAGGAAAAAACGTAAAAATCGCGAATTTGTCATTCATTTTTTCTGGAAATATCCATAGCCAAAAACAAAACCTACTTTAATATGTAGAGATCACTTGTGAGAAAGTGTTTGTAAAGTTTGAACCTGATCATAAAACGAGCAATTGACATATGGACGGAAAACTGCCATTTTTGGTGAAATTTGAACAATTTGGAAAGTAAAACGAAAATTTTATACTGTAAAAAAAGAAATTTTTTGGATGTGTCATACATCAACATGTTCGTCATCAATCAGACAATTAGTGTATGAAGTTTGGTCAAAAAGATAAGGACAAAAAAAAAGATATGAGTGCATGACTGCGATTTTTGCATAAACTCGTCCAAATTTTTGTGTTTTCACAACATTTTTAAGATGGAAAAATATTTTCGGCACGAAACCTACATAAAAAGTTGTAGAATTTACCATGCAAGGCAGTGAAAGAGTTTTAAATAAATAAGAGAAGGCGTTGCCGAGCTATAAGCGAAAAACTAAAATGGTACCCCCATAACGCGATTTTCGCACATAAGAGTATAGAATAGAACAGAAGTGTCGGCACTGAAGAAATAGGCCCATGGCCTGTTGCCGATTCTCGAACTTTTCGTGACTTGATTCACAAGGGATCCGGCCTTTGGAACCCGATCTTTTCATAACTGACGATTGATTGAGATAGCTGCTGGACTTATTGCCTGGTCCGAAAGCTCCTAGGCTGCGTATAAGCTGTGTAGACATTAATATTAAAACACGTGCTGAAAACGCGGATAAAAGCCAGGGGAACCCCAATTCTACTAACAGCCGCAATAAAACATGCATTTACGACACTAATTCATCTGCCCAGTAACGGAGTAGTTGAAAGGGTTAATCGAACCATCAAAATTGGCTGTAAAGTTTTCTTGTCATGTCGAAGTGGGATGACGCTCTACGACTCGCGGCAATAACGTATAATGATATTTTTTATATTTTTAAGTTACAGACTACATAATCTAACGCACTATTTTTTGTATAATAAACCATGATGACGTTGATGATCTTGCTGGCAGACTTGAAGGTCAATATTACAATAAAATTAGCATGAAATAATTTTAGTTTCTTATTTATATTCCAAAGAATATTTGCACGTTGAGATGCTAACGACTTCTGCGACCTCGACTGCCGGAGATAAACAATCGAACTTCATTGGTCCGAGAACTTCACTGCAATGCATTTGCCCAGAGTTATCAACTAACAAACACTCTTGGTCATTAAAGCAGTTGACTAATGTTCCTCCTCACGCATCAACAAATGTGAGCTCTGGTTTATTCGAACTTGTAAGCCACTGGGCTTGATAATTTTTGTTGGCCTTTCGTATTCCTTTGTTCTTGTATTATAACTTATTCGTATCACCAATGATGAAACTATCGTTATATCTTCGGTTGTGGTGCAGATCGGTTTTTATATCTCCTCTAAACCAGTCACGGGAGGAACAAAAATCGCCAACAGGCCATGGGCCCACTTCTTTACCGCCGACACTCGTATTCTGTCTGTTAAGAGTTAGCCGGAGTATCGACAAAGCGGCAACTGTTCAATGCACCACCGTCTATGTATCTTTAAATTCTTTCCAATTTCACTTTCAATATATCCCTTTCCGTTTTCAGAAGATTTCTTTTCCCTTTTCAATATTTCCCTTTAAAATATTTCTTTTCCCTTTTATTTTGATGAACATATTTTGATTCGTATGACTGATATTTACTTTTCACTATGTTACTTTTCTACATCTAATTTATTAGTAATTTTTACATCTGTGGGAATTTGGATAACGGATTAGGCTCAAATCTTCAACGTAATGAAAATTTCAAATTTAAGTTTCAACGTGCAAATTAACTTTATTGATATTTGTCAAGATTTCTAAATCTATTAGTATTTCCGCACATGTGGCGAGGCAACTCCTACCGTGCTAGCGACTATCTCTTAGTAAAGTATAGAATCTTCGGCGTAGAAGAATATAGAATAGAATAGAATTGTCGGCATTGAAGAAATAGGCCCATTGCCTGTTGTCGATTCACGTAATTTTCGAGACTTGATTCCACAAGGGATCCGGCCTTTGGAATCCGAACTTTCCATAACTGACGATTGATTGAGATAGCTGCTGGACTTATTGCCTGGGGCCGTATTATCAAAACTTCGTAACTCTTTCTACTTCCGACAAAAAAGTTACGTGTTACGTAAGTACACCCTAATTTTGGCATTATCAAAACATTCGTACGTAAGACTTAGCTAAAAGCGTATTATCAAAACCATCTGGCCAACTGACCAATTAGAGGCTTGGCTTTGGATTTGTTTACATTCTGTGAACTTCGATGGCGGGAATCGATGCCTTCGATGGTATCGACTATCGAATGCTGTCTGTCGGTATTGAGTCGGTATTGCTCCTTTTTGGCCAAATTTATATTATCTTCCTCCGGCAGTCGAGGTCGCAGATACCATTAGCATATCAACGCGCAAATATTCTCAGGAATATTAAATGAGCACAGTGACTAAAACGTTCAACTGAACTAAAGCTCACATTTGTTATGCGTGAGGAGGAACATTAGTCAACTGCTTTAATGACCAAGCGCGTTTGTTAGTTGATAACTCTGGGCAAATGTATTGCAGTGAAATTCTCGGACCAATGAAGTTCGATTGTTTATTTCCGGCAGTCGAGGTCGCAGAAGTCGTTAGAAAAAAAAAGAAACTAAAATTATTTCATGATAATTTTATTGGAATGTTGACCTTAATGTCTGCAAACAAGATCATCAACGTCATCATGGTTTATTATACAAAAAATTGTGCGTTAGATAATGTAGTCTGTAACTAAACATGTAAAAAATATCGTTTTACGTTATTGCCGCGATCGCAGAGCGTCATCTCGCTTTGGCATGACGAGAAAACGAGAAAACTTTGCAATCAATTTTGATGGTTCGATTAACCCTTTCAACTGCTCCGTTACTGGCAGGATGAATAAGTGTCTTAAAACTATGTTTTATTGCTGCTGTTAGTAGAATTGGCGTCCCCCTGGCTTATATCCGCGCTCTCAGTACGCGTTTTAATATTGATGTCTAAACAGCCTATACTCATCTGTTCGAAAATCGCGTTATGGGGGGTACAATTTTAGTTTTTCGCTCATATCTCGACAACGCTGTGATTTGAGCGATTTTGTTTTAAAATTTTGTTTCAAAACATGAAAGGTATGAGCAAATTTGGTTTTGAAATTTTGTTGAAACTTCTTTCACTGCCTTACATGGTAAAATCTACAACTTTTTATGCAGGTTTTGCGCCGAAAATTTTTTTCATCTTAAAAATGTTGTGATACACGAAAATTTGGACGAGTTTTTGCAAAAATTGCAGTATTGCACCCAGATTTTTTTTACCCATATCTTTTTGACCAAACTTCATACACTAATTGTCTGATTGATGACAAACATTTTGATGTATTACTCATCCAAAAATTTCTTTTTTTACGGTATAAAATTTTCGTTTTTCTTTCAAAAATTTTCAAATTTCACCAAAAATGGCAGTTTTTCGTCCATATCTCAATTGCGCGTTTCATGATCAGGTTCAAACTTTACAAACGCTTTCTCACAAGTAATCTCTACACATTTAAGTAGGTTTTGTTTTTTGGCTATTGATATTTCCAGAAAAAATGAATGCCAAATTAGCGATTTTATGTCTTTTCCCTCATCTTGATTTCAAAATAAATTCTGAATGAAGAATCGTAGCTATTTTGGGTTTATTTCTAAAGCATTATCACGTTGAAAGCTATACGACGATGGGTAGCACACGTCACAGTCTCATCTAAAGCGGCCGCAATTTGTCGTTTAAAATGACGTGCTGAGAGTTTCACACATTCCGCGAGATCTAGCGCTACGGTTCCGAAACTTGTTTATCGTAATATTCTGTATAGATGGTAAGTAGTAGTATAGATGGTAAGTAGAGCATCTTTTGTGTATTAATCTATTTTAATTCCGATTTTACTCTGAGATAGAACGGTTTAATTAAAAGTGTTTGTGAGATTTCCTTTATGAGGATTGAATTTTCGATCAGAAATGGGCCTAGTATGGGTAATCTTGTTGATTAACTCCCACATAACCAAATTGAGAAACAAGATCTTTAAACTAATACCCATTTAAACCTTTATTATTTTTCCGACACATCGACTACTGTTTACAGTCGCCGATTCCGTTGCGTCCATTTACAACTCAATAAAAATTGCAATAATTACAACAATATACAACTATGCATCATTAGTAAAACCGTGCGTCATGTTGTATTAACAAACGCCTGCGATGGTATGGGGGTAAGCAGCACTTGAGGGGGTAAGGGAGTAACTAACATTTGAGGGTAAAGGGGTAACAAACGCCTGCGATGGTATGGAGGTAAGCAGCACTTGAGGGGGTAAGGGGGTAACTAACACTTGAGGGGGTAAGGGGGTAACTAACACTTGAGAGGGAAAGAGTGTAACCAACACTCAAGAGGGAAAGAGTGTAACCAATACTTGAGAGGATTATGAGTAAATAAGGCACAAGAGGGTAATGGGTAACCTAGGCTTGAGAGGGTAAGAAAACTCAACTTCTTGCATTTCGTGGATTATATTCCGGTCCCATCATTATAGATTATTTCTCAAAACACTTCCTTGCATTATGAACCCGTGGATAATATAGTCAAATTTTATTTTGATATTCATCCTTATATTAATGCTGATATCAGTCGTGTTCCGGGTGAACTCTGTTTGTCGTGTTCCGTATGAGTACAATCCGCAGTGTTCAGGGTGATTTCTGTTTGTCTTGTTCCGTATGAGTTCAGTCCGCCGTGTTCCGGGTGAGTTCGGTCCGCCGTGCTCCAGTGAGTTCTATTTTCCGTGTTCCGGGTGATTTAATTCTCTTTCAGCTTCCTCAAGGTGTTACTTTTCTCATAAGGCATGCGAGGAACCGAGCAAACTGGAAAACAGGACATGAAACATCAGCATCAAACATTCGCAGATATTAAAAATTTTACTCTCGCTGAAAGCATGGATTTGAGTTAGAGGTATAGTCACGCCATACTGTACATAGCATCGAGGCCCTGATGTCGTCGATAAACAATACATGTTAAGAACGATTTGAAGTTGGTCTAAAGAATTTTAAAAGAAATCATAAATAAAATAATAATGGTCAAGTATTTTATTTATTTATGGTAGAGTCCCTTACGTTCAAGTATTTCATGGTAGAGTCCCTGCAAGGCTGGTACGCGGTTGAGAACTTGATGTCCGAGCTGCACTTGTTCTGCAACGTTGTTTTCTTGAAGGCCGCGTCGTCGAAAGAACCATCGGCTTTAAGCTGTTGAAGATATAATAGGAGCAATGAGGTAATGGAGAAAAGAAGACGAAGAAAAGAATAGACCATTTCCTCATTTGAAGAATCATGCAAAGGAATATATTATATGAACATAAAAAATTCAAATTGTGGATAAACCAAGATTGTTACGTCAATGTGCAAGCAAGTGTTGAAATCACTGTTAGGAGCTGATGAAAAAAACAGTTGAATCACAAACATATATCAGAGGAAAATAATCAAATTACTAACTGCTCTCAAAATATCGAAGATTAGCTCAGAAAGAATTTTAGCCATAAAAGAACTGGACAAACAGGGTGTGAAAAAGATTAATGCCCAACGCATTTTATTGCAAGCAAACCGTGAAATAAATAATAAAATCAAATTTTTGAACACTGAACTCCTAATCAGCTCGCAGAGATACTCACAAGTCCTACATCTTTTAAGGCGCATTTATTGTAATCGAACACAATCGGATTACAGACTTCGACATTGTGCGGTTTAGAGCCATAGTCCCTGGAGCAGTTTGGGTCTGTTGAGGGAGGGTTAAATATAAAGTAACAGTACGAAGTTATTCTTCTTCATTTCATAATCTAACAATAATGCAGCAGAAAGGAAAGATGGTAGTAGCATTCAATAAAATTACTGTTCACAAAATTTTATGACGCAAATGGAGGCTGTCAACGACAAAAGGTGTGTCAGAAGCGTTGCGTTGGCTGGTCTCGTGTAAGTCGTCATCTACGGGACCAAGTGTGGGTGTGAGCGGGACAATCATTCTCAGTATGAAAAGATTAGGAAAAATGTTCAAGTGCAGCGTTGAGCGTAGCATAGCATATCATAGTGAAGTCGGCGCTGAAGTGTAGGCCTGATGTGGACTGTCGCCGATTCTTTTCCTTTTCGTGCCTTGTTCACAGAAGATCTAATATCGTTTCATTTGACCCGATATTTTCATGACTGACGATAGTTTCAAGTAGCTACTATAGACTTCCACCGGGTTCGATAT